CGGCGGGCTTCGTCAGGGGGGCGGGGTGCTCCAGGCGGCGGCGATGGACGCTCGATCCCGATTGGATCGGGCGAGAGGGAGAGACGAGGGAGAATGTGGGGAATCGGGGGAGTGGGTAGTGGGGGATCTGGGGGTTAGGGTTTCGGGGCGTGGGGGTTATGGGGGTGGCCGACTGGGCCTGGGGTCGGCCCAGTTGGGCCAGGGTCCAGGGGGGGTTTCTCTTCCTTTTTTTTGTATTGTTTTCTGTTTTCTTTTTATTTATTTTCTTTTCTGTTTTTATTTATTTATAAACACTTAGGCATTTTATAAAATTGTGAACCTTACACCATAATTATCTTTGTAATATTTGGCAACCACCGAACATTTTTGTTTTAATTTTTTGAAAACTTTTATTGTTTTCTTTTATTTAAATTTTGAATTTGTTTCGGTTCTGAACTATCGAGAGTTTATCACAGTAACCGTGGTGACGTGGCATTATTAGCGGGGAATCACTGTAGCTTAATTATCCGGGCGTCACAACATCATAAACAACAAGATTGATGAATTGGTTGTTGAGGTCAAAGAGCTGAGAGCGATGTTTGTGTCAGGGGAGAATGAGCACGACAATGATAAATCTACAGATGGGCGTGAGATGACAAATAAATTTGTGGTTCAAGTTAGGACCACTACTCCAGTTGCTTCTGCACCTCCTGATTCATCATCTACCTCCTCAGTCGCTGCCAGAGACGTTGCAGATAGATTCCTTCAACTCCCTCAGGTGCTTACGCCAAGCCTTCATCATCGTCGTCCATTGATCCAACTTAGTCTTGAGTGCCGACAAGACTCTAATTTCTCATTTTGGTATCACGATGCCAAAGGGGGAGAGAAGTCATAGATCTTAGACTAGCTTCGAGTGAGAGATTGAGAGTGTTTGAGTCATTTTGCGGAGTTACATCGCTTGCTACTTCATTTGATTCTTATGTGATGTAAACTCTTGCTCTTATGTGGTGACCTATACTCGTATGCTATTGCACATGTTACCCGTTCATGCTTTAGTGCATCTTTGAGGCCATTGACATGTTCTTTTTGGTGTATGCGCTTTATATTTCATTTATAACTCGTTGATGTGCTCCACACCTAAACCAAGTTCCATGTGTTATATAAGAGTTTCTCATGTACCTAATCCATTCCGCATTTGCATTCAAACACAAAATTTAAATAATGCACAAATTAGGGGAACTCTTGTATACCACATGCTTCTAAAGGCATCTCGTGATTATGTCCATTGTTGAATCTTTGACCTATGTTGTTACCATGGGGTGAAAGTGCAAAAGTGCATCTAAGTACTTAGGTGGATTTTGGTAATTCATGCCAACATATTTCAATGAACTAATGCCTACTTCAAGTTCATTTCAGAAAATGTTTCTTTTAGGTACAACAAAGGAATGGAAGGTGACCCCTAAAAATGCTCAAGGGAAGTGTTGGACAAGTTAAATGCTTCTACATTTTCATTATAGTGATCCAGGATCACATTGAGTCCATATGCATGTTGATATTATTAGAAGGGGATGAAGATGTGATAATGAGCCTCTATCTCCATGTGCTTAAAGACCTAGCTCCAAAACTCCTCAAAATCATTCAAATATTCAACTATGACTACCATTTAACTTGGAGTTGTGGGAACTCTTTTGGTCTGAACCACCGAGTCATCGCATATATAGCTGTTGTACAAACCCCAGTTGAATCAGAGACTCCACCTATTCCATTCGGAACCACCGAAGCACTCGGTAAACCTTCTATAACTACGTTGGAACTTCCGAGCAAAACCACAGAACTTCCGAAGTGATAACAGAGAGTGTGCCACTGTCGAAGTGTTCAGCTCAGAGCCACCAATCGATTTTAGTCGGACTAACTGATGCTTCTGAAATTTGTTGGCTTTGTTCACATCGGAGCCATCGTTCCACTAGAGTCTCCAAGATATACAATAAAGTTTGTAAAAGTCAAATTTTTGGTCTAGCATATATATACCTTCCAGCTATCCCACATATGTCCCTCGAATCAAACTCCACTCCCATCATATTTTCTGACAGAACTCATCCTCCTCATGCTAGTTTCAAAGGATGGAACCAACCATCCAACCAAACCATTTGTGATCTAATCCCCTCTTGCTTTCCACCCCTACTTATCCAAATCCACAAACAAATCTTGAGAGAGTTTGAGTGTTGAGGAGATTATGTTTTGAAGCACAAGAGTAAGGAGTTCATCATCAAACAACCTCCATCTTTTTTACCTTTGAAGGGTGTGCCCCTTCTATATTGGCTAGGTGTTGTTTGAAAGTCTTCAAAGTTTGTGAAGAACCCAATAAGTTTGTAAGGGCTCCGGCGTCGCCATCTACCTCAAACACATTAGCATGTGCATATTTGTCTCATCTCGTTCACGCTCTCGCCTCACATGACTCCGGCGTCGCCATATCCCTCAAACACATTAGCATGCACATGTTTCCACCACCTCACCTCGTTCCCTACCTCCTCCTCGCGCCCAAACCACCACCCGAATCGCCAACCACCATTGCATGCTGCAAGGGTGTCTCGCCGCTGAAAAGCAATTTGCGCAGGTGCCGCCACGACCCCCCTTGGTACAACTGCACCACCCTCACCCCGCGTCGTCGCCCCGGAAAATGCCCCAAGCTCAAACCCATGGAGATGGTGTGAGGAAAAATGGGAGGAAGAGAAAGTAGAAGGGATGGGATGACTGCGGCGTACTTGCGGTGGCGAGGAGCAGAAGATCCGGTGGGACTGTTGCCTCCGCCTCCTTCGCCCCTTCAGTTTCACGAGAGGAAATGAGGGAGGGAGTAACGCGGATTTCGAAACTGAACACCCATCCACCACCCCATCATGATTTGCTACAGAACCACCCCTCGCACGTTGCTAGAGACTGATCCGTGGGTCCATCCGCCTTGGATTGAGACGATCGCTCTCGAGACTGTTCGCCTTGGAGTCACAACACACTCGATTAGGTGGCACATGGCGTTTTAGGAGGGATCGGGATGAGATCATGCAGACAGGAGGAGCTGTGGTCGAGAACTCAAGACGGCAAAAAAGTGGAGCTGCATGTTTCTAGCATTTTTTTTGAACATCAGTACAAACACAAGCGCTCATATCCACGCGCATACACTCACCCATATGAGCACCTTTGAAAGACCGAGCCGACATATCATCTTGAAATAAATCCAGAAATAAATGCAAGTACCAGGATTTGAACCCTGGTGGGTTGAGAATACCACAGTTCATCTAACCATCCAACCACAAGTTGGTTCGCTGTTTTCAGCATTTGAGTACTTATTATTTTGCAAAATAAACATCGCAAACATGCAGTACCTCCGTCTCAAAAAATATACTCCCTCCATTTCAAAATATAGTGCGTCCACGCTTCTCGAGGTCTAACTTTGACCATAAATTTAACCAACGAGACCAACTGCGGCGGGAGAAAAAATTATATAATTGAAAACTTCTTTCGAATACGAATTCACTGATATAATTTTTGCTCCCGCCGCAATCAGTCTTGGTAGTTAAATTTACGGTCAAAGTTGGAGCACGTGGATAGAGAAAGCACTACATTGTGGAATGGAGGGAGTAAGATGTTTCTGTAGGCTAGTTTAAAAAATTGTATTTTTTTATGATAACCTTTTTATCACGGGAGCAACACTGTTGTGGCCTTCTGGGGCCGAGAGCGTGAGATCTCTGCACTCTCCCTGCTGTCTACTCGTATTTATTTACATGCAAAAAGATCATGATTTCTTAGTTTAATCACATAAATTATAGTATACGTGTTCTCCATCCATGGTCAAGATCCACCTCCTCTCTCTCCAAACGTCCCGTCCCGTACGTTCCTTTCCTCTTCGTCTCCCGAGCACCTACCCCAACCCCGACCCCAATCCCCATCCCCATCCCACCCGATGCGCCTCTGAACTAGTACCACTCCAGTCAAGTGCCCCCGTGGAGCCTCCGTCTCCGTGCCCCACAGCCGCCGCCGTGCCGTCGCTCGACGCCGACGCCTCACGCCCCGCCCCCAACCCCTCCCCGCGGTCCGCCGCCGCCGCCGTCCCTGCCGCCTCCACCCCGTCCGCCGCTTCGGCCATTGGCCTCTGAGGTATGCGCATTTTGCCGTCCAGCGATTGGCTAGACCCCATTGACCTCTGGAAATTTTCGGCGCACCATCTAGATCCAGACCTTGCACTCTCGTTGCTTTCACTGCACTGCATTTGTTTATTTATTAGTATCCGAGATTGGATTTACTCGGCTCACCGGATTCCCTTTTAAGCGGTGCATCCCTGTGCGGCTGCTGGATTTGTGGCGTCGAGGTTTGAGGTCTGAAGCAGCGCCGAATCTCAAACTTACCTTTTGTTGGCATCGCAGATTTCGGTCTTCCAGGAGTGACAGAAGCGAAATGGAGACGAATGAGAAGAACGCCGCTGATTTGGAGGACAAGAACCAGCCCAGCGGGCACGGCCAGCAGCCGAGCTTCCACGGGCCCGGGTTCTCGCTCTCGCCGGAAGCTCAGATGGATTCTTCCAGCAGTGCGCTGGCCGCCATGGGGAACCCGTTCCCTCCTGGCTTGTGGAACCCACCTGGCCAGAACTTCGGGCTGGGGGAGACCAACACTAACGCTATGCTTAATGGGCACCAGTTCTCCTCGTTCTTGGGGATGCTGTCAGCAGCGACGCCCGCATATCCCGGCGCCCAGTCGGGGTTCATGGATTGTGGGGCAGGGTTTCCTGGCTTAAGTGCAAACAGTCTTGGAGCCATGATGGATCACCCTTTTTCTAGGAACCCTGCTATGGGTAGTTTCCAAAACGATATTGAGACGTCTAGGGAGATGAATGTGGACGAAGGTTGCAAGGATGCATTATTGACCGGTGATAGGCAGCAAGGAGACACCGAGAGTTCACATGGTGTTGATGCCTCTAGCAAGGAGTTAAGCAAGCCGGAGTGCAGTGGTGGCGCTGGTCAGGATGAAGGGCCTAGTGTCTCTTGTCCCAAGAAGAGGAAAAGACCAAGCCAGGTACTTGTTTAATCCTCCCTGTTATATAGCTGAATTTGTGTCGTGATTTTGATGGAACTTAGAATTCGATTTTCTCATGAAGGATCGTGGGGTGAAGCATGTACAAGAAGGGAGCCAGCAATTGGCAACTCTGGCTGCAAAGCAGGAGAAAGATGACGACGACAAAGATGAACCAAAGAGGCCTGTTGGGACATCCAGAAAGTCCAACGGGAAGCAAACTGAGGATAAATCTGATGCGCCAAAGGAAGATTACATTCATATAAGAGCTCGAAGTGGCCAGGCTACAAACAGCCATAGTCTTGCAGAAAGGGTAAGTCCCGAGTTATCTTCCCTGAACTACCTTTATCGAATGGTATTTCTAGCTACTTAGCTTCAGTGTTATTTGTTTGCAATACAGGTTCGGAGGGAAAAGATTAGTGAAAGGATGAAATTTCTTCAGGACCTTGTTCCTGGTTGTAGTAAAGTAAGCACTTCTAAATGAGGAAGTCAGCACTTTTTAGCTGTATATTATCTCCACAATTATTGCCATAGAAAAACTTATTTGCATGCTAAATGAGGAAGTCAGCACTTTTTAGCTGTATATTATCTCCACAATTCAAATTATTGCCATTCGCTATTTTCACAAGCAAGATTGTATACCAGGTCATTGGTAAGGCCGTTATGCTGGATGAGATAATCAATTATGTTCAATCATTACAGCGGCAAGTTGAGGTATGATGTCCGCTAAACTTGTAACATTGTTTGCAGCTTTTGCTCTTTGCTGTAATGTGAACTTGTTGACCCTGTATGTGCATATTGGGCAGTTTTTGTCGATGAAACTTTCAGCTGTCAATCCAGCACTAGACTTCAACATAGAGCGCATTCTATCTAAGGATGTATGTAACCCCCTGCCAGATATTTATTGTTAATTAAATTTCATTTGTTTTCCTTGTGCTGATATATGTTCCATACATACAGTTATTTCAGTCTCAAGGAACTGCATCGTCTACCTTTGGCTTCTTACCAGACATTGGCCATCAATTTTTGCATCCACCAAAACATTCTCAAGCTGCGTTGCACAGCATTGTAAATCCCGCCGATGCATTTGGAAGGGTAACAAATGCTCCGGTAGGATGTACATTCAAAGAGGCCACACATCAGGTTTGTCCCATCACTTATTGTGCCTATGTTTCTCATTTTAAGCCCTTTAAAACAAATGCTAGATTGATGGACATCAATAGGAAAGGGCAGTACCTGGTAGATTTCCAATAGACCTACCACAGTGCTGTATTGTGTGGTAGTACATGCATTACTAGTTCATTACAACTTCTATTGAAAAGAGAGTACCTTCTAGATTTCCTTTAAGCCTGGTGCAGTTCTGTATTATGTGGTAGCTCCAGAATTACTAGTTCATTACTAGTCCTTTTGTTCATTTCGATCAGATTTATCCTCTTATGACTTGAGCATATTGCACAGGTGCCCAATAATTTTGATGGAGAGTTCCACAACGTGATTGGGATGCCTTTTACCCTGTTTAATGACCATGAATCAAATGATAAACCTTGAGCAATAGATTCCGCAACCGAAGCAAGAAATCATAACGGGCCAAGAGATTTCAACAGAACAACATGTGAGCTTGTTGACACTGTTCCACTAGCTCGCATTTGAGCACTGAAGTATATCCATCCAAATTGCTTAATTGTTGATTTCCCAATATTGGAATCAGCACTTGAGATATCCTATAGAGGCCCTTTCCTCAGATGTACCATTTGCTATTGGAGGAAGCTGGAGATCCGACTCTCGGGACGTCCACATGGAGATTTCAAGCTTTACATTCTCCTCTGAAAATTTACGTGTATAACTATTGGTGATTCAACAATCTTTGCATCATGATGGTGAGTTCCATTTTGCCAGAAGGTGGCTGTATCTGGGTACCATCTAGTTCAGACCCAGTAATATTGTAAAATGCTCTCTTTCTGCAAGATTCACACTCCGCGGTATAATATAACAGCCTTTGGTTTGTTAGTTGCTAGTATCGTGAGAGTGAAAGAAGAATCTTTGTTGTACTTCTATGGCTGCGCATGCAACCATATAGAACTGTGTACTGGTTTTCGATTTCTTGAGAATATTATGAGTGTATTTTCAGCGCGTGATTATGTGTGGAAGAAACAGTGAAGGCATCTGCTCTTCCAGAATTCCAAAAAAACTGTAGGCATCTGTGCTATTTTCATCGTGATCGCCTCATCTGAACTTGGATAGTTGACAAAAGAATCAAAGAAACTGCAAATCTTGTTTCGACGAATTTGCTCAAGGGAAGATCATGAGCGTAGTCAGTCGAGTAGAACTACAGAATTTAGCATGTTGAACTACGTAGTTCTGAAGCCAGTTTAAGTGAGCACAATATCTTAAAACTGAATCTCAAATGAGTTCTGCAACCACATACAATTTTGCTCTGGATACATACAATTTTGCAGTACATCTTTTCTGAGAAAAAACCCAAACCAACCAAGACAATCTTATGTTAACGAATATCATCAAAGCCTAGCCTTAATTACAACCTAAGAAGACAAACAAGAACGAAACTATACAATATCATACCCACTATGACACTTTAGTTACATTGCATCTGCAGAAATTCCTTTTTACCTCGTTTTCTCTTTGTAATCTAGTTACACCAAACAATGCACCAGCTGATGGATGGTATGAAGCCAAGAAGACGGCAAAGGGATGTTCGCTACAGCTCGACGGACATGTAGGTGGCCGAGTAGTCCGGCATCCGGTGCAGGCTCCGGAGCACGCTCTCGGCGACCTGCTTGGTGGCGGTGTCGCCCTTGTGGAAGGCGCCCACCAGCGCGCTGGGCAGGGCACGGTCAGAGGTGACCTCCCTGACGCACCGGTCACCGCCGTTCTCGAGGAAGCTCTCCAGGGCCCAGAAGCACCGCCGCAGCACCGCGCCGCTGCCCTGCTCGTCGTTGCGGTGCTGCCGCACCAGCCGCAGAATGTGCCGCGGAGCGTTGTGCTCGGTGAGCACGGCCACGCCGCCCACCACGTCCACGCCTTCGTCCATGAGCGTGCAGAGCGCGCCCAGTGCGGCCTCGACCACGTGACTGTTCTCGTTGCTCTCTAGGACGCCGAGGAGGCACTCGACCGTGCCGCCCTCCACCAGGCAGAACGTGGCGGCGGGAGAGCACACGCCTCGGTGCACGGGGCAGAGACGGCTGTGCGCAGGCGGTTTCCGGTTGTCGTGCACCCGGCCGGTTCGCAGGCGCCGGAGAATGTTCTTCTTGGGCTGCTGTTCCTCGGACGGCGGCTTCGACCGGTTCGCCGACTGCTGGCTGAGGTTCTCGAGGCCGACCGCCGCGAGCCGCTGCACCTCGTCACTGCCTGACGACCGGACGAGCAGATCGGTCAGCACCGAGGTGAAGTTATGGTCCATGGCTGCCTGGAGCACATCCTGGTCGTGCAGCGTCGTCGTCAGCCGGACGAGCGAGCCCACGAGGCCCTCCAAGTATGGCTTCGCATGGCGGCTCGCCCGCATCCCGCCATGCTGCATCTCCTCTATCTTGGCCAGCATGGTCGGCACTGCGTTCTGGTGCAGCAGCGCGAGGTTGAGTGTCAGATGCTGATAGGGCAGCTTTGACAGGAGCGTCGCAGACACAGCGTGCCGCTCCGTGATCCGCCCCAACTGGCTGATGCTCCTGATCAGCCTGCCCAGCTGCCCAGGCACCTTGCAGAGCTTCTCGGCAATGGTGTGCCCCATCTGTGGGGACAATGCAGTGAGCAGCTTCGTCGCAGCAATGCCAAGTGCCTCGCTAGGTGAACCCATGAACTCGATCACGGTCTGGCTGCTGTCTTGCTCCTTCATGACTGAGACCACCGTGGCAAGCGGTTTGGGGAGCGCGGTGAGCGCGAGCAGCACACGCAAAATGTTGAGGTTGAGATCGTCGGGCATGGAGCATCTGAGCATGTGTGCAAAGTTGTACACCGAGTACTTGGACGTGATAACATGACCTTCCTTGTTGACAACGATGGCCTCCGGGTTCATGCCAGATTTGACAATGTTGGCAAGTACTGCTGCAGCCTCGGTCTTGGATCCCATGGGCTCATCATCGATCTTTCGAATGAAGAGCGCCTCAACCATGACTGGAACAGCGCCTGCGTCCACAAGTGTCTTGCCATTGGGCTGGTGAGAAGAGATTTGGACCAGGACATCAAGCGCCGCCTTGCAGATACTAGCATTGCCGCTGTGCACCATCTTGACAAGTATCTCCGATGCGCTCCCGGCAATGTTGATGGTCATCTCCTGCTTCTGGACTAGCTCGCCGAGATAACCCACCATCTCCATCTGCACATCTTCCGACCCTGTTTCATGCACATATTCATGTTAGCTAATGATGTTTGGCACGAGCGGTTGCGAACTTGCATGTACAATGCATAGTATCGAGTTTTTTTAGGAAACCCCTCAAATCAGTCACCAGTGCACGACTTCTACTTTGAGCTCGAGATTTAGTTCACTTGTTGCAAAACAAATTTGTACTGACATACTGTTTAGAAACATAGGCAGTAACTCCTACTATAGTGATTCTAGTTTAGAAACTGTTTGGACAAAATGCTAGTTTAGAAAGTGTTTGGACAAAATGGCAACTATTCTTATCAGTGCAAGGGAAATGTTCTCAGATACTTCAAAATATTAAATTTGGATTTTGACAAGACAAAATTGCTCTTTTCAATGTTTTATGTGGAAGAGTTAAAAAAAATGTAGGAGGTCAGGTATGTTTCTGCACAGGTAAAATATATTACCTTCAACGAGATGCCTTTGGAGAGGGTCCAAGTAGCCGCTTTCAGCCATGTACTTGATATTCTTTGGGCATTTCTCCAGGTTCTGGAGGACCTCTCCGGCCTTCTCTGAAGTAATTGGATCATCTGAGTTGTTGAATTTCATCGTGATCAGAATTAATATGCTTCCAGCAGTTGCCCCGATGTTTTCTAATAGTAACTCTGATTTTGAAAGCTCTAGCAAGAAACAGATAGCTGCATGTCTTTCATCCGAACTACTACTAGAAAGCAGCTTTATTGTCCTTGAGACAGCTCTGGTTTTTGCTATGATTTCCTGCATGTCACGAGGCAACATTTGAGTTGTTAATCTAAGATGCAGGACCAATACAAATTGAAACTGGACTCTACCAATAATTTCAGCATTTCATTAAGTTTCACATGGTGATTTCGAAAAATAATTTTGACATGGCCAAGCTGGGATTTCACGAAAGCTGAACACATTTCAGACTTCCTTACCTTTCCTGGCTCATCTTCGACCAGCAGGCAGAGGAGCTCCAGTGAGTCACAGCGTATCAGTGCATCCTTGTGCTCTAACAGACGTGCAAGGAACTTGGTTATGCCAATCTTGTGCATCTGCTCCCTGTTCTTCCTCCTCGTCCTGGCAAGCAGCTTCAGCTCATGTATGGCTTCAAGTATCATAGCCTCCGTCCTTGCCAGTGAGAGAGCAGTACGCGCGATTCTGATCCGTGTTGCTTCATTCCTCATAATCCATTCCGCGATTGTGCTCTTGAGTGGAACATTAGTCCTCAGAGTCTTGCTCTGCATTGCTATTTTCGTAACCGGGCAGATCACAGGTTCAGAATCATCCGTTAAACTGTCAAAGTACTCCTCAATGGTTCTCCTGTCATATGTTATCCCGCTTTCAGTAGTCACTGGATCAACCATGACCTTATTTGTCAGTGGGCAGAAGAAAGAATCATACAACGGCTCAACGTACTCTGCGACTTCAGGGAGTGAACTGAATGACTGTCCACCGAATTCATGAGACTCATGGTACATTCCCTGCAGGAAGTCCACCAACCTTGGCATGTCGCCGTCGTGCAGTGCTCTTCTCTTGGGTCTATCATTTGCCACAACTATCGTCATGTCGCCCTCAGAATAGCCATCACAGGAACGCTGATCATTAGGATGCTGCCCGTTTGCAGTGACCTGAAGGTGCGTACCGACTGCTGCATCCGCACACCTCTTGCTACCAAATGCTGAAGCAGGTATCCTGCTGAGCTCATGACCGATGTTCTTTATCACATTATCAAGGTCCTCGGTTATGCTCTGGAGGTCTTCGTCCATGAGCTGCTGCGCGACGGCGCTGCACCGAGCGACGAGGTCCTTGGCGAGGTCGACATTGGCAGCCAGATATTCGGCTACGTGCATCACGTTGGCCGGAGAATTCTGAACCCTCTGCACCTCCAATGTCGCCGGGGGCACGCGCTGAAGACGGTTGCCTGCGTCCAAGAACTTCTCTTGGCCGACGTCAGCGGAGGCCATTGTCGACATGACCTCAGAGATTGCCGCTATGGACTCGGCGAGTGCCGCCTTCCGGGCTTGCCCCCCACTTCTCTGAAAAATAAGTACATGTCAGGCGCCCAAGCAAATGCATCCAACTACAAATAAAGACGGGTTGTTCTCATGGAAAATGATGGTTGAGAGTTCACACCAGGTCACCAGCAAACTATAAAGAATGAACCGACAGACTTTATTAGATGAAAACAATCTGAAGTCGACGGGGGAATTGATTCTACAACAGTCGGAGGATACGATACGGGGCTGCCACTTTCCCCCAATCCCGGGTTGTTGACAAAATGGTTTTAAGAAAGTGGCATCTCTCCCGTAAGTATGAACGAATAAGAACTGGAATTTACTTTGCTGAAAATGAAAACAATAAACAGCCCAAATCAAAGACTTGTACTACGAAGCGGCTGAAAATGGGGAACGCGCTGGTTTTTCGCCTACTCCCTGTAATGAAAGAACACGAAAAATGCCCCAAAGGGGAGGAAGAAGAAGTGAATGGCAGTTGAATTGCCCGTTTGAGCACCAGGCACGGCCTCGGCTCCGTTTCCCCATTCTCCGTCATGCCAAATCCACACAAAACCGCCCAAGTGTAGTCCATAGAGCTAAAACCCTATGATTATCTTCCCTCACACAAGGCCTAGCATCCCAACGCAACATGGGCATAACCAAGAACAACACATGAATCGTAATTTATTTCCTGACAACCTGCGCGAGGCTTGACAGTTGACACCACCCTGAACTGAATCGAACGAAACAACCAAATAGCTCGTCACCGGGAGGAGAGGAGAAGGCGACTCAGCGGCACATACCTGCATCCAATCCAAGCCCCCCGAGAACGAGCCCGGGCTCTCCGCTTCCTCCTGCCCGCCCCCCGCCGCGCTGACCCCTGGAGAAGGTGGCTACCGGCGCCGCGGGAGCATTCTATCTCTCTCCTCCACCTCCGCTTCCTGCTCACCGCCACCGCCCCCGCGCCGTCCAGGCCTCGAAGGAACGAACGAACAGCGCCGCACCGCCCGGCTGAGCGCGGCAGAAGAATCGAGAGGAATGAAATGATGGGAGATGGCGCCGCACGGGGACCCAGTCAAGTGAGGTCTAAAGCAACCTCCTCCCTGGCCTGGCCGGTTGGCTTGGCTCCCTGGATTGGAGATCGGTAAAGCGGCCCGATTTTCTAACGGACTTCCCGGTAGTGCCCCTGCCCCCGCCGCGCTTGTTTTATAATTTTGTGTGGGGAGTGCGCCGTGGGAAGCGTACAAAGGCGTTTGACTTTGCTGGCGGTGGGGGTGCTGCCCGGCGACCGCATGCTTGGCTTGCAATGGACACCGCCACAATATGCCACCTTCATTATTTTTGTCCGCGGAGGCCTGGCGTGTCGACTGCACTGCGCTCGTTCTTTGTCCACGACGACTTGGCAACGTTAGTTGCACTGAAGTTTCGGTCAAGTAAGATGACCTGCAAATGTCACTCGCAAAAAAAGAAAAAGATGCCCTGCAAATGTGTATTCGCCAGGGTCATTTTTGAATTGTTGATGATCAAAGACAACTTCTTGGAAACTTTGCATGTTTTCTTTTCTACGTACGTTCGCAGAATTACCCTATTTCAGACGGTGGTGGTGAAGCCGTGAAGGAAAGTGCAGGCGAGAGACAGCATTATGGCGGCGTTTTTTGAGCTGTCGACCGCCCTGATTCATGAGTTCTTGGATCATACGCTTCCTTCTTTCTGCTCTTTGCTCCATTTGCCTCATCATGAAGGCATGGATAGCATGGCAGCGGGCATTGATGATCCCCAAATCGGTTGAACGGTGGTGGCGAAGCTCATTAAGTAAGAACCATCATCTGTGAGAGGAGAAAAGCATTTGATTTAGTTTTCCGGTCGATCTAGATATGGTTATGGTTAGGCGTTCAGCGAGGGCGCTAGCAAGTGCTACAGTAGTACTCCTGCATTCCCCCGCAAAAAAAAGGCACAGTAGTACATTGTGTTGCGAGTGGAAGAAGTAAGTTATTATAGCATCTACAGTGTGATGGGCAAATCCGGCCCTCTCAAATGTCCGCGGACACGCCCGGGTGCATCCGTAGGCATTGACTGGACACTTCTCAAATAATGTAATCCACATTCGGACACCTCAATTATCACATCTCAAATTCACGCAAACTCATGCAACTACGTCGATGCACACACATTGTCCGGCTACTCCATCACTACTAACTAAATATGCCATCGAACTATCAAAATTTGACATTTTTGGATATGGTGAAGATCATGCATGGCTACATTGAGGCCCCTTTGAAGCGTCCGTCTGAATCGAAAAATCGTGACCGGTCAGTGTCCGAGCGGGCCGCCCGGCCGTTTGAGGAGAATTTAGAGCGCCCGGCTGTAGATGCTCTTAGGGTTAAGAAGTTGTTGAGATTTATTTAGTCGCTACTACATCGTGCTGGAATCATGTACATTGATTCACTACTAATCTAATCTAATCTAATCATGCATGGTTATGCCCCGCAGCAAAATACTCATGGCTATCAGAGTAGTACCAACAGTGCTGCTCAGGGGTGGAGGTGCGTACGATCGAGTGGTACAGTCAGTAACTTTCAGAAAAAACACAGTTACTGGTACTAAGAACTAACCAGCCAGTACATTGCGTACAGACCCTGAAATAAAAGAAGTACATTGCGTACAGATAAGGACCGACGGAACTGAACTAAATTGAATAATGTTCGTTGAGCTCTTCAACCTATGAACCTAGCTCTTCAAATGTTCAATTTCATCGCAGAATTCCCTGACTAAATTAACTACCGCCGTTATCGACTAATTCTACATCATCGAGATGCGCCTATCCTAGACACGAGAGCATGAATAAAATAGCAGCATGACGGCTGGTGCACGACAAGAGCCCAGAATTTGCCCGGCAAGAATGGATTAGCAAGCTACTGCTAGCAAACCCTTGACTTGATTGGTCAGGTTACAAGCGCGTGGAACCATTCTAAATGGAGCCGCGGCGTGATGGCTACTAGTGTGCTACTCTATGAATGATGATGATCCGGTCGACGGCGATCGCTGGCTACGGACGAAAGGGACACTTGCAGTCCGATCGGGCAGGGGCAAACTCGTCCGTCCGGTCGCGTGGGGTCGCTCGCGTCGACATGGGCGCCACCCCGGGCGGGCCGATCGCAATCCGCTTGCGTGCGTAGATATCGTCCACCTGTCCTGTCCAGTACAGTAGCATTTTCTTAATTTCATGTCCGACGCGTATGAAGGAGACGGAGACGGACCCTGTGCTGCAGGTGTGGAGTGGACGCACGAAATCGCGGCAGGGACGGCGTTCGCATGCCGGGCGAGGACCGAGGACCGAGGAATGTCGATCTTGACCCGTTTCAAATGATCACAGGTACTCCTGCCCTGCTCTGCTAGTACTACTAGTATTTCAGCTGGACGAAATGGAGGCGATGCATTTAGCGCAGGCAGCGACAGCGGGAGGAAGAACGGCAGCGGCGTACGGGACAAGAAGCTTTCCGTGTCGTGGCAGCTTGTTAGGTGCGTGCCCTTTGGGCGCGGGCAACCTGTTCGATCGCCAACCACTACACGCGCGTGGGCGTGGGCCCTTTTCCCGGGCTCGGCCATGGCACCGGACGTCGGTGGACGGTGGTGACATGATCGTGTGTCGTGGCCTCCACACCAAATTTTTGCGCCCCGTCACGCTACATTACTCCAAGGTTGAGTCTGATCTGGATTCCGGGATATACTGCGGGTCTGCTGACATATATCCCAGGCTACAGGGGAAGGGAAGGGAAGGGGGGCGCGTGAGGACGTACGGTAGGGCTGGGCGGCACGTGATCCACTGTACAATACAGCTGTGCTCTAGCACAGCGAGCCAGGGCGCACGCGGCGAAAGAGAGTTGTTTTTCTTGTCTTCGGCCGCAGCGCCCATGACAACACGTACCGTGAAACTATTCACCTGACAACACCTGTGGGATAGCTCCACACGGGTTTGGATCTCTGGGGTAAAGCGAGCCTGCCAACACCAAATAGAGCTGGGCAGCTGGCTGCCATTTGGATATAATCTTTCGTGTCGCTTTATAGATAAAACGATAACTCATCCGTGCCATTAGAGCAACTCCAACGGACCGAGCCAAACGAACGGCGTTTTTGCCCGCTTTTTATTCGTTTGGGTCGGCCGCCTGCCCGTCCGCCGTTCGTTTTTTTTAAAAGAAAGGAGGATGACCCCCGGCTTCTGCATCTGGGCGATGCATACGACTACTTTATTAATTATTCTCACAAGACTTTACAAAGTAATACAATAGTAAGACTAAAGCCGCTATCTAAGCAACAAACTATCGCTACACCTATCCAGTTGATGAAGGGGCGTAGATAGTCTGGGTCTAATACCAAACAAACATCACAGCCAAACCTAACATCTAAGACCTGAGGTCCCATCTAGGACGCCTGCCGGGCATGGGTCTCTTCGGTCCGCCGTGCTCTCATAGGCCGCCGCCGCCAACTGTCACCGCTCCATCTTCAGAACTGTACTGATGCATCAACCTTGCTCGGTCCAGCTATCGTCGACGCCACCATGGCGCCCAACGACACCTCCTCCCTGCGCGCAAACAGCTGAGCATGTCGCGGTCGCCACTGATACACCTCAGCACCATGCTGCCAAGTACCACCAGCCGACACAACTTGAAGTCTTTGGAAGATCTGTCGTGCGTAGCACCTGCCGACCAAGCATGACAAAGCGTAGCACCTGTCGGTCAGGCATGACTTGACATCTCCACCGAAGCTCCGCGCAAGACGAAGCCGCTCCACCTCCTGCCTCTGACTTCCAGCTCTGCTCCACAAACGATGCTCCCAAGAAAGAAACGACACTGCAGTGCCGCCATCGTCCGATCTGGAACACCAGGTCCTAGGGTTTTCCCCGGAGCAGCACGAGTGGGTCGACAATAGTTACACGACGATGCCTTCATCAAGGTAACGGCGTAGAACGCCGCCATCGCCTGTCGTCGGCTCGGTTTTCACCGGCAACCATGTCTCCCCAACTCACAGCCAGGACTAGATGATGGATCTCGAGATCGAATCACCAAGCCTCTGGCCGGCCACCTCCGACGAAGAAGATGACCACCACCACTAGCTACACCGGCCAGAACAGATCTGCCATGTGCCGCCAAGCAGTCCACCAGGCCCTCGACGCCGTCGCCGATCTAAAGCCAAATGACATTGCCGCCGAAGACCGCATCGC